GAATTTTATATGGGAAATAGAGGAGCTCAAGCTGCGTCGAATGGCGCAAGAACGAATTCTCTAGCTCATTTCGTTTTTGAGAAAAGCGGATTTTAATGCGTCAAAAACGTTACAGTGTAACGCGTGAGCCGTAGAAGAAGATTATTTCTATTATTTTCTAGATAAATATGATTAACGTTAAATTTTTTATTTGCTTCACTTTTCTTCTAATCATTTGTGATGGGAATGAGATTAATGATTTATTTAATGGACAAAAACAACATGGCGATGTAAGATTTCTTTTCTTTTTAATATATTATTCCGACAATTAAAAATCAGTAAATTTTATTTTATCGTAGGGTACGTATTATGGTGAATATAAGAATGGTGGTACATGTAGTCTTGATCCAACACCATCATCAGGAAAAAACAATATTCATACAACTGTTGCTATGAATGCTCAACAATTTTATGGTTCTGAAGCATGTGGTTTATGTTTGGAAGTAACTGGAAATGGAGAAGGAGTTGGAACAAAATCAATTCAAGGAACATTTAATGTTTTTGTAAATAATTTATGTCCAGAATGTAAGAAAGGTGATTTAGACTTGGGTCTAAATGGTGATGGACGATGGAAAATTGAATGGAAAGCTATTGCTTGTAATGTCGATGGTCCAATTAATTACTTCTTTCAAGGTAATGTAAATTCTCGTCGTAGAATAAAATCAATGGCTCTTATATTAAAAAAAATTCTCGTTTGTTTTTGACGAAGTTCTATGATTCGATCGTATTTAAAACACAATCCTAGCTATCTGCAAGCAAACTGTCCTACATCGTCAATGGAGAAGGCGCACCAAATTCAAACTTCCTACCATTTTAATTTTTGCATTCTTTATGTATGATTCGATAGAGCTTTTTAGGCTAAATCTTAACCTTATTTATACAAGTTTCAATATGGAAACCACATTTCACAGACCATGCAATTCGCCTTTGCACAGGCAATAAAAGTACATTATTTTTTTTGAAATTTCTTTCCGTTTTTGAAAAATTTCATCTTTTCGAAATCAAAGGCATAAAAGTCAGCATTCTGCTCGTAATTCTTAATTTTCTCCGTCAGAACGTTTATGCAAATTTTTGGTTGATTTTCATTTTGTGGTGAAAATTCTTCAACGTACAAATTGGTAAAGATTAAAGTAGTCGGATACGATAGAAATACACATTAGACTTCTCAATATAATATCTTTATTGCATAAAAGTTTTGATGGAGGAAATTGAGAATTACTAGCAGACTTTTTCGTCTCCGATTTAGATGAAAATGAAATTTCTCAGCAACGGATACGGAAAGGAATTTCAAACAAAGTAATGCATACTTTGGCGCAAAGGCGAATGGAATGGCAGTTGAATTATAGTTTTTATAATGTTATTGAGCTGTCCGATATGTATATTACATTATTGATTACACATGTCTATTCTTTTACAGAATCAATTTTTCCAGTTTTCTACAGAATTTAGTACATGCCTTTACTGGATTGACAATATTGTTAAGTAAAATGTCTTAGACTTTTCACTAAATTAAACTGACATTCAGTTTTTTTCCTGATAAATTTGTCATTGTTTCTACTCTCCTCTCTGCTCGTCAAACTTTATCATTTTAACAGGCCTCTCTCACAGTTGAGAACATCAATAACTAATTATTCGTAATCAAAATATAGAAGAATTATATAATATGCAATGATATCTAAACGGCAAATAGCATTTTTTTTTTAAAAATGCTAGATCTATTTCGAAATTTTTTAATTGAGTTTTAGGATTAAAGTAAAAAACGTTGATGATGTATAGATTTCGATCTTTTACCATGTGGTTGAACTCTTGCTATTATCATGCCGGGTTAATTGTCGATATACATAATTTGTTGTTGATTATCTTAATTTTGTTTATCATAGGAAGCAATCCCTATTATATCAAAGTTCAAGCACGTAATTATCGTCATCCTGTAAGCAAATTTGCAATTATACAAAATGGCGTACGAAAATATTTATCACGTACACAAGATAATTTCTTTATCTCAAAGGGTGATATTAATTTTCCAATTTATCCACCATTTGTAGTTGAATTAACATCAATGAAAAATGAAGTCTTAACTGATATTATTAGTAAATTCGAAAATGGAATTGCTATTGTGGGAGGGAAACAGTTTGAAACATGAAAATATTTTAAAAATATTCATTGTATAACTTGGAATAATGTTTTCTTTTCTGGTTTTTTTTGCCAGAGTACTTTCTTAAACCTTAAATTTGTGAATATCTTTAATAATGTTGTTTATTTTCATATAATAATAAAAGCATCAATGTGTTCATAACTATATTGATGAATTTTAAGAAAAAAAAACGACTATTTAAAAACCTAGAGTAAATAGAGTAAGGAAATTAGGGATATGCAGAATCAAGGATTTTCGGTTCTAGTTCGAGTTTCTTTTATGTCAAAGGAAATTTCGGTAGTTTTGGTTCTCGTATCTTTGCGATCCGGATGTGCCTTTTTTTCTCGATTGATTGGGAATTTTATAGAAAAATCACAGATTCCAAATGTGACGAGGTGTTAGTTGCGAAAGAATCGTTGAAAAATAGCACTATGTATCTTAACAGTAAAAAACATTTGCAAAATACTATTTTTAATACGTAACCCATTGTGTGAAAAACTGCGCAATTGAGGAAATTCTGAGTCTGCCTTAGGTGCACCTTACATCATAGAGATTTTATTAATCATCATTTCATCGGCATAACGTATCGTGGAATGTTAATGACTGAAAACGATCTTCGCAATTATCAAACTGATAGTCAAATAATGAATCGAACGTTTCTATCTACATCTAAAAATCGAACAGTTGCTTTGCTATTGCTATCTTCTCCAACTATTTTCATTTTTTTCGAATTTTCACGTTGAAAAATTATCGAGATTTTCACTCGAAACTGAAAAACAACTTAAAATTTCGAAATACACATCAATCGACCCAGTTTTGGGTGCCGATCCCGAATATGATATTCTTATTGCTCAAAACTTGAGTTCTGATACAGAAAATCAAGAATTGACGGCAGAATGCTGACTTTTTCGCCTCTGATTTAAAAGAAACGAATTTTCTCATCAACGAAACAGAATTTTAAAATAACAAAGTTATACTTTTGAAGAGGGGCATTTGGCGAATCTCGCCATGTATAAAACTTGGCTCTTCGAACTCTTACAAAAAACCAGATAGGTTTTCAAGAACAAAGATCCGTTTTTTAGACCTTCAGCTCGAGGCGTCCTCAGCGGATAGACGTTTGAGTCTAAAAATGACATTCAATATAATTACCAATTCACTTTTCGCTGCTGAATTCGAGCTTTGAAGCCGTAACGCGAAAAAACCACAGCCATTTTCTGAAAACCTTGCGATTTTGGAGTTTTTAAGACCCCCTCAGTATTTTTCGAATTTCTCTGCGAGAAAAAGATTTTGAGAGCCGCAGAAGTGATATTCGTGATCAGCGCAAAATTTGCTATTGAATGGTGTATAAAACGTAGAAAAACCCGAACAATATATGATTGGATATAATGATACAGAAGAAAATTATTTAAATCAACTATTTAAACTCAATTGTAAATCAGAAGATGAATTATCCATTCGACATTCACTTGTCAACTTAATGGCTATGATTATATTAGGAGGAAAATAAAATTTTCTTTGGACATTTGCATTTCAACCATTATTATTACAAGATACATACGGTATGTATAGAAATTTTGATAGTAGCTAAATTTCTAATTATTCAGTTAGTTGCAAGGAGAAATAAGCTTTTTTGCTCCAACGGGCATACAATTAAACGTGGTTTCATAGGGTGCTGCCTATAGTTAGTAGTTAAGAAAATACTTATGAGTCGATCAAGAACTATCAGAAACTCTATAGCTTGTATAAATTTAGATTTTAACTAAAGTATCCTAAGAGATGAAAATCGGGCGTATAAGACTTATGTAAGTATTTAAACTATCTTTCATAAGCCCTATAAATGCTATTCAGAGCGCAAAATCTCAGGACACGAATTCGCGTCGTCCATACTCAAAGAGTTAACCATTGTGTGTGGTTGAAGGTGTTTGTGTCGTTTGTTCGTACCTTCACATACAGAATGGTTAAAATAAAGGAAAAAATATTCATTTCTGACAAGAAAATAAAAGTATTAATTGTACTGATCGATAATAACGACATAATTTCATCCTTTTTAGAAAAACAAAATAAACTAGCGATACATTCTATGATTTAAGCACAACTCATTCCCGCTAAAATTTGAGCGAATAGTAGTGTTACATTATAAAGGCAAGATTCGGTATGCATACATACGGTATGTATAGAAATTTTGACAGTAGCTAAATTTCTAATCATTCAGCTAGTTGCAAGGAGTACTTCACCGTGTGATACTTCATCTCTTTCTCCAGCAGAATTTGGAGGAATTATTCGTACAAACTTTTGGCCAAACTTCGATGAATATTCGTACTGCTACGGACCTAGACTAGAATTTTATATACATTGCTAGAAAATCTTTTCCTGGACGGTTGTTATCGTGTATACAATCTGATGCACCAACTTATATTGGCTGGAACAGAGCGATAGCGGCTAGTGAATTTCTGGATGGAGTCCCGGGGTATATAACCCGATAGTTTTATATAATCTTTTCGCACATGAAGACTTCTTTCAGAGAAAGCTCTCTTTTCTTACAGGCTGTCATGTAGTTAATAAACTCGACTTAAATCTGGGGCGTTTCTAATGGACAAAGTTCATCTGCATCTAATATGCAAAATATCCAGTATACGGGTTGAAAGGTTTTATGTTTTGACAGAGTTGTATTGTAATCAGTATTAACCGTAAAATTATATGATCTCCTGATGTTTATTTGATCATCTTCTACCTCGTCGTACTTATGTATGCATCAATTACGGACCAGTTATTCCTAACTGATTTTTTGAAGCATGTAGGAAAATTGTTATAACGCGGTTATTAAGAATCACATAGACCCGTGAAACATTTTGTTTTCTTGAGAAATGTTTAGTCGATGTATTTATACCGAACAAAAGGTTAAAGCGTAAAAGAAATGTCTTTTTAACAAATTAGTGAAGAAATACGAACAGTTGTATAACTGGTAACTAGTTATCATGTACATATTTAAACATAATATCACTTCTCTTCTCTTGCAGCTCATCAGCTAAGAACTATCAGACACAGATAGTTTTGGAGTTTTAATCTTAGTACTATCTTTTCATGTGTATGGGAGTTCCATTAGCTAAAAGATGTTATTGCTGACTGCATCGTCAGAGATTTGATATGATGTTGAGAAACGATGATGTTGTTAGTTGTAACCCCCCCCCCCCATAATAGAAGCCTCCGGGGCTTCTAAACTGTCCAAGTGTTCAAAATTTTTAGGGGGGGCTTGTATTATGAAGGGGCTACTATTACGACTTNTTGATATGATGTTGAGAAACGATAAAAAGTCGTTCTTAGCACTTTAATGAAATTTTCGGATATATAACCATGTAATTAAGAGATCATGTTCATAGTTTTAACGGGATATCAGAGTTTCATTAAAAATGCTTTTCTTAAAATGAAGTTCATTAAAATGTTGATGAAATTCTTGTGACGTCAGAAGCTGTAGGTCACAGTTATTTTGCATGAGACATTTTAACGAAAGTCCAGGAACTTTCATTAAAAACACAGTCGCAGTTTCAATTAAAAACATTTTTAATGAAAGTGCCGGGACTTCCATAAGGAAAACGCTTTAATAAAAGCTTTTTTAATGAGAATCATCCTACCCATTTTAACCACCGTAAAGTATGTGTTATAATCCATGCAAACGTTTGATAAACGAAGTAACTGTCCTATCACCATACCATAACCTATTACCTTTGGAAAATTACCGTTCGAATCCAGATAACTGATAACGTTAAAACCGAACTTGGTACGTTTATCATACGGCTTGATTTGTCT